ATCAGAAGGAGCCTGGAGTCCAGACTACCTCTGGTCTGCTGGATCCTCTGAGAAACCCTGACGGGCCTTAGTGGAGGGTAAAAACACCGGAGACAGCTTGTGTGTGTCTGAGCACATGCTGTAATCGACAAACACTCATCTCTTTCTGCAGAGCCTGTTTCCATGGCAACAGCTATCACTACTAAAGCATCAGGTGTGTTTAGTTGGGCAGACAGGCCAAGTCGAAGAGGAGGTGCAAGGAGGAAAAAAGAGCTGACTCACCTTATCTTGGACGTCCAGAGGACACCGGTTCTGGTGCAGGAACTTCAGGGTCTCCACGTGGCCGTGCCTGGCGGCGTAGTAGACGGCGTTGGCTCCGGTCTGAAGGTTTCAGAGACGACAACATTCCTGAAATTCAACCTTCAGGGAGACAATGTAAACACAGCGAGGCTGCACATCGTGCTTCACGGAGGCGTTCGATTTGGGGACGTGTTTGCCTCCTGAGCTCAGAGTGGGCTTAGTGGAGGCGTTGTCATGGCAACCGTTAATGAAAGCCTGAGAGAGACCTCGTGGCTTTGTGTCTTTAATTTACACGTCGATTATCTTGACGTCTCCACAAAGATCCGAAGCAAACGGCTCCGTGTGCAAAAAGGCAGCAGCTGTTCCTCAAACGGCTGACTTCCTGCTGCTTTTTCTCACTTCCTGCACAGAAACAGCTTAAATTCACAGGTTCTACGGCACAGCTAAAGCTGTTCGCTGTGAGTTCATGAAGATCTGACAAAAACCATAAAGAAAGAAAAATCTGCACAATAATCCGCAAATATTGACGGGAAATTTTCTTTCAATTAAACCCAAGACCGGCACCTTACGACCTGATGTGTTTGTTTACATGTAAAAACAGCCAAAGTGTGTTAGTTTAGCTTCAGAAACAGCTTAAGTTTCTTTTTTTTTAATCTACAAGAACGGCTAAAACGCGTTTACCTATAGAACCAGTCAAAATGTGTTTGTTTACCTACAGAAACAGCTACAACACATTTGTTTACCAACAAAAAATTTTTTAAAAATTGCTAAAGTATTAGTTAGGCTTCAGAAACAGCCAAAGCGTTTGTTTAGCTGCAAAAACAGCCAGTGTGTATGAACAGAAACAGTCAATATGTTGGACTACCTCAAAAAAAATAGCCAAAGTGCGTTAGTTAGCACAGAAACAGCTAAAGTGTGTTTGTTTACCTACAGAACAGCTAAAGCAAGTTTATCTAAAGAAACAGCTAAAGCATGACCGGATAAAGTTTGTTTGTCTACAGAACAGCTAAAATGCATTTGTTTACCTACAGAAATGGCTAAAGCGCATTTGTTTACCTACAGAAACGGCTAAAGCGCATCTGTTTATCTACAGAAACAGCTAAAGTGCATTTGTTTACCTACAGAAACGGCTAAAGCGCATTTGTTTACCTACAGAAACAGCTAAAGTGCATTTACCCACAGAAACAGCTAAAGCGCATTTGTTTACCTACAGAAACAGCTAAAG